AGGACAGTAGACTGAAATTTGCCTTGGACAKCTCTACAGGTTACATGGCTATGGATCACATTGCTGCTGAAAGAGGTCAGTAGACAAATGTACCAGGAGCGAGATTTTGCCTTTACCTTGTGCTTGTAAAGTTGGGTGTTTTAGCCTTTGGCTCAGCAGAGTAGTTCTATTGACTTCACTGGGTCCAGCTACCTGAGCTAAGTATTTTATTTGAGGAATAGGAAATGCAGATTCAAATCCAGTTGAGTGCAGTAAGGGCATGAGGCTTGTAATTGGAAGAAGAGAGAGTAGAGGAACTGTGAGCTTACTTGTATTTGCTGCTGGATTTTTGCAGCAGGCTTTTAGTTGCTGTGTTTTATTCTTTTTGTCTTGGTGTGATTTTTTTGAATTAATGTTGATTTTGTCTGATCATGACATGCTACAGTCTATATTTTATTTTTGTTTCTTAAGATAAGGACAGAACTGTATCAGTTATGCAACTTATGAAGCCTTAATCCTTGCAAGGAGATGAAAGTTTCAGGTGCTRCAAATGTCCTCATCTTAGGTACAGATTCCTGATTGGATTTGTCTATCRTATATCAATCAGATATATGTATCAAATAGAAAATCCCAACCAGTTCTTAATGTTATGATARCTCACAGCTTATTGACATCTGGATGCAGTCAGAGAACTGGTTCTGGTGATGTTGCTTAAGAAACCAAGCCGACAGCATCTTTATATGCTTAAGGCTTTCAAACACTGTCTTGTCATCTCTCTGTGCTGTGAAGAGCAGGGAGCTGCAGAGGTGGCAGGAGGCAGCTGTGCCAGCCCCAGGGCTCTGCAGGGGATGCGTGGACCTGCCAGACACAGAGGAGCCCTGCCTGTYGTGCCATGCCCTGCCCTGTTGCAATGCTGGTGGCGTGTGTCCACCTGTGCCACGGTTCTGAGTTGCTCTGGATTATTCCCTGACCAATAACGAAGCATTTTGTATATCCTTCAAGTTGTGCAAGGACACTTGAGGGGATCTTTCAGCGTTGGTGTGTGATTTTACGCCCAGGTGTAGTAGCAGATCCCTGCTCATTGCCACATATGTATTGGTAAAGAGAGTTTAAAGAAGCAAACATAGGTTAGGGGTCCTCCCATGCAAACTTTATGGAAATTTAGTCTACAGCCAGTGCTGGTGAAATGTGATTGACTCTCTAAAGACACCCATGGGGATGACTGACCAGCTGATGGCTGGTACTTGCTGTTGCTTTGTTGTTATGATGTCTCCCCATCTGTTCATGAAGGCATCTGCGTGTCCRAGGCAGGAATTGCCTCTGACATCCATGTATCCACATATATCAAATATAAATTATCAGTGTTACACAGAATTTTGGTTCTACATCTACAGAGATGGATTTCTGTTGTAAGAGAAGTTATTGCAAGAGCAAGAAGGATTTTTTTCACTGTGTAGTCCATGACTGGAATGTTTTGCTGACAGTTTAAACACTATTAAATTTGACTTTTAACAAAGGAGTAGGTTTTGATTCCCAGTTTTTTCACCTCCTCTTTGGCATTGGTGTCTGCCCAATCAAAACAAGCATAAAGCAACCTGGTGTCTTTGTTTAGATCCTTATTGTTTCATGTGGTATGTAAATGTGAATCTGTCATGAACTGATATTATCAAGATCTTGCAATTAGATGCAAGACTATTTCACAACTATGCTGTAAGTAACTGTACGCTGGGATGAGCAGGAATCCTACAAAATCTTTCWGGCTTATGACATGACAGTTTTCTGGGATGAGCTGACATGCTTTCTTGCAACATTTAATTTTTTTATGGGCAGGTAATCCTTTACTGCTATTATAAATGTGGGGTCCAGTATGGTTATTTAAAATGGGGACATTAYGACYACTCCAATGACTTTACGTGTTTAASTGGGTCAGAAGYCTGATGGAAGGTTAGATGTTTTTGTCCCCATTTCTTGAGTGCATCAGCTAAGTTCAGCCTTTTAGTCTGTCCTGGGTAATACTGGAAGTGCATACCAGAAAAGTGGTTTTCTTCAAACACTGAGAGACTACTTAGCCAGAGCCCTACCCCTCCCTTTTCTTTCTGATCTGTTGTTAAACTTCGGCTAATTAACTGCATATATTTTACTTCACTTTTGCACCATACTCCTCAGCAATTTGTTTCAGAGCATTTAAAAAGGACTTAAACACTTTTATGCTGATTTTGGTGTGAGTTAGCAAAAATCCAATGGCATTAACGGGATGATGCAAAGCAAGAAGTAAAACCTAGAACCTGGGAATTCATTGGTGGTTTTTCCACAGATTTATAGATTTGTAGTCATGTCTTGCAAATTTTACTGGCATTTTGTAGAACATGGTGTGTGGCCTGTTGATGGACTTAAAATTTCACCATCTTCTTGTCAATGTATGAAGAGTGACCAGTACCCAAGCTGCTAAAGAGAAGTGCACATATAACCTTGATAGGATTGGTGTCTCCTGCAGTTAAATACGTTCAGTTCTTGTATAGTCAGCATAGCAAATTTTTTCCTCCCACTTCCCTGAATGAAAAAATAGGGTATTGCTAGTGGTGGTTTTGGTGTTGCAAACTACACAATTATTGAATCCTTCATCCAGTGTCCAGGCAGCACAGATCCTCACATCTTTGAGTAAAAGACTTAGGTGAAGAGATGATAGATGTGTATATAGAAGCCTGAATAATAGATGAGATGGCTTTAAGTAAGAAAGGCACAACTTTTTTTTTTTTTTTTTTTTTTTTTTTTTTTTCTGCAGTAGAGATACCACATTCTGTTTATACATCATTTCTGTGTATTTGGCCAGACTCATCCCTTCCATAAGTCTTTCGATCTGAATAGGATCAGGGCCAGAATTGTATTAAATTTCTAGTGGTATTTACTTTGTGAACACTGGCTTTTAGATCATGGTTAGCWGATACCTGAATGGATAGCTCTTCTCTGATTTTTTTTTAATTGATCATTTAAACTCATATTTAAATGGGGTATTTTTTTAAGTTCTATTTTTTGTTACCTTAAATATTAGAGACATTGAAAACTAAAATTAATAGAACATATTTAATTCACCATTTTATTCATGTGAGGACACTACTATTTCATGGGTTCTGAGACAGGTAACACGTGTAGACCTAAAGCTTGGAACTAGCAACAGAATTTGCATTATCTGAACTGTTATCTAATTGGGACACATATGAGATGTTAATCATATCACTTTGTGCCTTGGAAGGTGCTGAGCCTGTTGGGAAGAGGACCTGGCAGAGGTGCTAGCAGGGACACTGGAAGGTGGTAAGGGGAACAACACTCCTCTGGTAAGTGTTCTGGTGTTTATCACAGTGCAGGGACGATGGTCAGTAACTRTCTGAGCAGGTGGCATGGTTTTGCAGGTGTTTGATTTGCTGTGACAGTCAAGGACATGATTCCCAAATGAAGAAAACTTCTTGATGGGAGGAAGTTGCCAGGTGCAGAGAGAATGCCTTGCATTACCTTGTTCAATTTATCAGCAGCCCTTAGCTGATGGGCCTGCAGGAGGTATTACCAACCCTTCTTCCTGCAGGCTTGGCTCATCTCAGTCTCCTCTTTTCTTTGCAAATATGAATTCTTAGCCACCTAAAACCAACAATTTATTTTGCCACTATTATTGACATTATTATATTCACAATTCATTGGTTGTTGAGTTATCCTCACGGATGCCCTAATGAAGCCTAGACAAGACTGATTCATGCAGAAATGAGGTATTTTTTGCCTAGAAAAAGCACCAAAAAGATAAAATCTAAAGAATCTGATTTGTGATGTTGAATCTTGAGTAATTGTGAAACAAAATATTTCAGTGTTTTACTGCTTGTGTGTAATTTTACTCAGTTAGGGGGTTATTTTCTTCACCCAAAATATTGCGTCTTATTAATTTAAATTTAGATCTCTTTTAAGCAGGAACCAAAGTTTTCCAGCACACTGACTATATCTCACTTTGCAAATCACTTCAAAGAAGAAAATACATTTTAGCAATTTAATATGTGACTAAGATAAGTTTTCAAAATCAACAGTGTGTTCTCCTGTGTATTTTCACAGTGGATCAYTTAACGTTTAATCTCCAATGCAGGAATTCCACATACTCAAGTTCTAGGCTGCTCTTTCTGTATATAACTTACATTTCATTGCCAGGATGGCCTAGCAATTTTTTCTAATTAAAGCACTTAAAGTACTTCTATTCTCTCAGCCTCTCATCCTAACTGTTTCTCAAAACTGGTATCGTAACATAGCTTTCCTCTTATGTGTCTCTAATTTTAATCTATCTCAAATTTTAATTATTTTGAGAGGAARGATTCTATTAAATGCTACCAGGGATACTTCTACTTTTATGTTCTGTCACTGAAATCTGAAACATGAGAATTTAGTTCAGCAAAGACAATATATGTATTTCCACAATCAATTTTTTTTTCTTAAAAGAAAGGATGTATGTTAGTTCTCCTTAGTAGTTTCACATGCAATTAAAGCCTGATTTGTTTTGAAACTAATTAAATTAATCAACTTTGTCAAACTCTGTTTCTCATTCATTGCAATAACATGCCATTCATCCTGCTACTGCCAAAGTGAATTTAAAGGGACAGTTCCCTCTGGAGAGTATTTGTGCACATGTCTATAGGATCTAGGTCTTGATAAATTGTTATTTTAACACTGAATTGCTTTCCATTTCTTTGCAGTGTTAATGTTGTGTCTGTCCGGCTACTTATATAAGAAGAGATTAAAAKACATTTTTTAAGTGTTCCTGCTTTACTCAGGGCAATACTATTTTTTTTTTCATCTAATATACTCTTAGCAATATGGGCAACGTAATTTTAAAGATTACGCTGTTAAAATTTCCCAAAGTTTTGGCAGTTTATACGGAGTAGCGTGGCTTTGCGCTGACTAATTCGGAGAAAAGAAACAAGGTTTCTCCCTGGGAGGTATTTAAGAGGTAATGTATCTTTAAGTGTCTCCGCCTCTGAATCCACCCACTTCTTGATAGCTGCAGCAGTCTTGTTGACTCACAGAAGCCGTGTTCATGCAAGAGCCAGCAATGAGCAGCATTTTTCAGAGATTTTAAGAGCGCAMCTCTTGTTATGTCTTTCACATTCTAGCTTGCTGGGGCTGAAGGTGAATGAAAGTTTTACGTTTTGAAGATATTGCAAAAGATAGTTSCTCCTCTCATCCTGGAAAATCCTGACAGACCAGTTGGATACCTTTCAGGCCTTAACCAAGAACTTATCTTCTCATCCCACTGTCTTTTTTACAGTAGAAAGACCTGAGACACCATTAAGGACTGAGAATCTGACTAATTTAAACAGATGGCTAATCCCAGTGCTGTCTGCAATGGACATCTACATCATCATCATCATCAGAAACACCAGAATAACCTCTTAAAAAGTGGAATAACTAAGAAAAATGGGATCACTAAAGGAATCAAGGTAAGGTTTAATTGTTTACCCTAATTGCCTCAATATTGAAAACAAATAGGTAGTTGCAACATTACTTATTAAGCTAGTTTTCCGGCGGTCTTAGTTTTCATTGAACAGGTTGTATGGATTAGGCTGGTGTCTTAAGTTTTGTAATCATGGGACCTTACACTGCTCTTGTCTCTCCTAAACTGCCGAGAGAGTTGGGAATGCTCATGCAAATGCTGTTGGTCCCATGGACTGACTTAGCCTCTAGTTCATATCAAACACAACAAACACATGTAGGAGCTTCCTTCTAAAGCTTAACCAGTGGTGGAGTAGACTTTGCAATGCATTATTAATCACTAGTGTAAAGTTGTATTGTCAACTTCAAGTGTGTGTGGAGTAATTTTCAAGGTGTGATTTGTTGCTGCACAAGTATAACAAAAATATGAAGGCAGGGGAAGCTGTCTTTTCTTGATTTTTACATTTCTACAAGGTTGGTTTAGCTGATCCCCGCACTTTACTGATGCCTTCTCTCCAATCTTAAACTGCTTAAATCCAAGTCAGTTTACTATTTTCTCAAGCGATTCTCTTTGAAGCAGCACTTCTCACATACATGGATATTTTGTAGAATAGTTGGAATGTAACTTCCTAAAGAATGAACCACAAATCTAAAARTATACTTTTACCAAAAGAGCCTAGATGTTAAAGGTGGTCTGTCTGTGATATACCTGTTCTGACTGGGAGCTTACTGTCYGTGTTGCAGTGTCCTAATTCTGGATCTTGGTGTGGTCATTAGGAGAAAGTATTGTAGTGACTAGAGGAAGGTTGGCTTTAGAGCACGGTGTGGTGGTGAGGGGGGCAATGGAAAATGCTGCTTATGGAGCCTGAGCTCTCACCTGACCACCCCTGCTGGAAGCTTTAGACAAGGACTGTGCCGAGGGTCCCGCTGTTTTACAAATAAACTGCTATCTTCTATCTTTCTCTAAATGGGGCTCTCTCACACCTTAGCACTCTAATGAAGGCACGCCCAGTGTCAKGCTTAATGGTTGTCTGGCTTTAGGTGTCTCCCCTGGTATGAGTGTTTCCCAATCACRGGCTTGTGTTGGATGAGGAAAGMAAAAAATCTTGCGCAATGRTTGAAAAAGGACTTTCTTGGATTTGCTTCCAGAAACCTAATTCAGCATCCTTTTATACATCACATGCACCTCMTCAGCATTTTATACATTAGCTATTTGCCACAGTGATGTTCTCAATCTTTGCTTTCCACTTGTGACAGATTTCAAGAGCTAAGCTTTGCCATTCATTCAGTTACTGTYAACCTGCTGCAAATGAGTGATTTTGAAATCCCAGGAAGGGATTCATTAGGATTTCCTCCTTAATAAAAAAAAAGAAGTAAAGTAAACAGCTAGAGAAGTAAAGAATAATATTACTGAGCTTGAGCAAACACAAGAAGTAAATATTGGTCTGAAAGGGGAGGCAAAGAAAGGAAGGGAGTAATAGTAGATGTACCTGCTAGATTAGTGAAATCTTACAAGCACCACATGGTTGGAGGAGAAGGTGTTTACCCTGCTGGGTGACAGTAACACTGAGCCACTTGTAAATACCATCCATGGCTGAGGGAAGTGKTGAGGAAGTGAAGATTTAGAAAGTCAGGAGGCTTGTCCAAGGAAGATTTGGTAAGTCTAGATCGAGCACCGCGCTCCGAATCACATACCATTTCCCCTTTCCTCCTGCTCCAAACACAGATTGGGAAAGAAGGAAACAATAAGAGACAAGAGTCCTGAATGAACCAGGAATCTCATTCCTGGCAGGAATCTCCCCATTCCTGTCTGGTCTGTTTCCCCGCCCCAGCTGCCTCACCCTGTTCAGTGCTTGTGCTTGATGCTAAGGAGCAGATTCTGTTCCTTCCTCCCTGTTCTGTTTACGATCCTCCCTGCTGGAGGTGTGTGTCTCCACACAGCCTTCCGTGCGTTTGTGTTTGCAGCTGCTCGCTGGGCTGTGCTYCCCACTGCACCAGCTGGGATCTGAAAAGCAGGGAATATGGCAGCTGGCTGCACAAGGAAGCCTGTACAAGAACCAGACCCAGGTTTCTCTTCATTCCAGGCCTCCTCCCTTCTCCCTCTTTTGCTCTTTATCCACCTCTCCCCTGTTTCTCCTAACACTCTGAGACCCACGTTTATGTACTTTACTGCCCGTGCAGTAAATTTATTGAGTATTAAACACTTCATACAGGAGAAATRTAGTGCTGGAATATTTAGGGGACGTGACTGATGATGCTGGTTCCARAACATGAGCCTTGTGATARTTCCAAAACTCTTKGGGTTAGYTACTACTGTGYTGCTTTGCAGGGAGGGGAGGAGGGWGACCTGCTGTGGTTTGTGAGTGGCAACTGATGCAGAGATTGCAGCAAGAGAATGGCACAATGAAGGCTTCTAAGCCAGGAATATATAGCAATAGTTTTGCACAATTGACTGACTGGAACATCAGGCTTTGCAGAAATCAGCTCTATAAACCCTTTTTTTATAAGGGAGCCCACAGGAAGCACTGGCTTCGGGAAATGCTGGCTTTGGAAACATTGCTTTTGAAAGTACTTGCTCAGGAACAATGTGTTTTGCATCTTAATAATGTAAGAACATTTTGTGTGTCTGTGCATGCTGGAGAGAAATAGAGAAGTAATTCTGATACCACAAAACCCCCCAGGTTTCTAAAGAAAAGATTTTGTTTAATGGTTTGGGAAAGGTAATTAGGGATGATCAAATGTGGGGGAGTAGGGAGGCTCTCTTTGCTTCTAGCAATCTGTGGCATAACAAGGACACAGAGGAGGTAGCTGAGTGATAAAGAAGAAGTGAAGCATCCTATCAGAAGGGAGGCTGTTGCTTTTGGGGAAGGGATAGACTGCTTTGGGGTGGGACTGCTTGTTTTAATAGCTTTAGTGATTATTTGAGGTCTGACTCACTCAATTCTAGCTGATAGCACAGACTGTCACCTAATAATGGACATCAGGATTAACCATATCCCCACAGCCATGCTGCATCCTGGAATTGTTTGGAAGCTGGGCCACAGTAAGACCTGAACTTTGGGAGGTGGGTTCTGGAACATGTCATCCACTTTGTTAGTGCTTTTAACAGATGCAGATGCTTTGTGTTCTTCCAGAATCCATAGTCTGGACTTGCCTTTATCCAAAGCATGATTCAATGGCTAAGCTCTTTATTTATGTAGCTGTATTGGCCAGGAGAAGGTATTTTCCTAGTGATGGTTTCTTTGCCGTTATATTGCTGTGGATTGGGTACCAGCTATAAGGGACAGTGGATTTTTAAAACAATAAATGGGTTTGTCTAGTGGAAACTTCTTTCCCTATAAAACACATGCAACAATTCTGTTTCTTCAACAGATTATTTCCTTAGATGCCTTTGCCTCCAAGACATTATAAAGCTATTTGCAAWTTTTTTATTTTGATGTTCTGAGAATGGCAGGGGCTTGGAAGAAACATGTAGTCAACAAGACTATAGCCTTTTCCAGGGCTTTCAAGCTCCTTCCTGAAAGCAAAAAAAAAGAGCCTGGGATGAGATCAAACCCAGTAACACCTGTCCCACTTATGTGATGGCCCAAAAATGTGATAGTCTCCCACATTTGGTGGCTCTTAAATTCAGAAGCTGTTTGTCTCTGTCTTGTGACATCTGAACCTCCTCCTAACTGTTTTACTTAGCTATTTGGTTCAATATTGCAGCATCCAGTCTCAGTCCCTTCCATGCTCTTGGCTCCTCCAGTTTTCTTCTTCTCCTTTCTGCTCTACAATGTCATTTATTCCCTAATTAGCATGTTAAAGAAAACATTGCTTGTTTAGAAAGAGTCATGAAAGGAAYATGCCATGCAACTGTTCTAGCAGTAAGATTCTTCTATTGGTAAAGGCTGCCTGTAATTTCTTTGCTCTGTTCTGTCACAAATACTGACAGGATTTCATATGTTTTGTAGAACCTGGTGTAAGTGGGACAATTTAGATACACACTCAATATAAATGTTGATGATTCCCCCAGAAAAAAAAAAAAAATCTAAGTTCCACAATTAGAGTCAATAAATAAGGCTTATTATTAAGGGAAGAGTAAGGAGAGAGGCTTAAGGCTGATCAGGCCTTTCCAACTGTTTGTACCATCAGTTGTGCAGCCATAATGATCAACCAATATAACTTTTTTTTCTGAAGTATCTTCATATTTTGGCACTGGTTTGGACAAAGACAAACTGAAAGGGACCTGTTACACTTACACTAGCTCAGGATTTTGGACATTTTCCATTGTGCATGTGTTCATAGAAAATGCAATCCCCATAAGCCCTCTGAGTTTGTGGCTATAGTGACAACAGGAAAAAAAAATGAGACTTGGTTTCCAGTCGTATTCTCTACCAGTTACTGTACCTGTTGCTTCAGCTGCACCACGGATATGACCTCCTCATCCTCAGTTCCTGCCTTCTTTTCTCCTGGGTTTCAAGCCTGAGAAATGTGTGGCTTTGCACCTGCACTCTCAGCTAATAATCACAGGTCTCAGATCCACACCCTTGTTTCTGTCATCTGCCCTGCTATGTGATGAGCTCAATGCATTGGAAGCAGGAAACACTGAGGACATCTTTCTGCAGCCGAGGTGTCACCACTGTGTGGGCACATSTAACAGTCCCTGGCTCTTGTAGCAATGCTGTGTGTTCCGTGAGGCTTTACATGCAATGCTGATATTTTTCACGTGGCTCAATATCTAAGTTTCTGGTTGGTGTGGGCGCCACTGCCCACTTGACACCCAGAAATCTCTAAATTCAGATAATCAAATTTTGGAAGGAAGGTAAAGCCCTGATGAAAATAGCAGACAGCGATTTACTTTGGCTTGAAAGGTGCAGCATGTGAGGTCTTTAAGGTCAGCCTCCTCTTAGCACAGGAACAGCTCATCCTTCTACTCATGGGAGCAAGTAAATACACTGGGAGACTGGTTTAGCTACACATGTAACCCATGACTGAGCCCCAGTGCAAAAATAAGCAGTACACAAGC